CGTCCTGCATCACCTGAGTAGGAAGAGGTCCGCGTGCAGGAGGCCAGCTGAACTGAGCTTGAAAGTGTTCCGTTCAACGAGCCATACGGCACTCCTTATTGTGTATCAGCGCACCCGCGCTGTCTGATTGTGTCACTGACGCCTGGTTTACTGGGACCAGTGTTGAGGATTAGCTGGAAGAGCTTGCGATAATTGCCTACTGCTTCTGTGTTTACAATGCTAATGTTCGGGCGATGTTACTATATGAAAACGAGTCATGGCCGGTTCACGTTGATGACATGCGCCGGCTGTCGGCCTTTGATAATGGGTGCTTTAGGAGAATTGCTCGTGTGTGGTGACAAAAGCGTATCTGCAACGGTGTAGTTCAACGTGTCTTAGGGGATGCGAGTATTACCTTCAAGAAGCTGGTTTTGCTGCGTCAGTGAAGATGGCTCGGTCACGTCCTGCGTATGTCAGCGGTGCGTTTTCCCTATCGCACTCTTTTTTCTTGTTTAGAACTCGACTGGAAAGGACCACGTGGCGGTCCACCTGGCGACGGCGCATGAAATCCTTGACTTCACGTCTTTCTGTCGTTGGATCCACATGCCTACCTGGCTGGGGATCTAATTACGAGCAGTGCCGGTGGCTCCAAACAATTCAGGATATACCTCGCAACCGAAATCAGAGAAGGATCTGTGTTCATAGATGTTTAGATTCAGATACTTAACGTTTAACTATTAAAAAATGAAAATGGCATGTGAAAACCTGACAAAAAGACTTCGTTTTTTATTGCGGCGTAACACGTGAACTGTTGTTCATCTTCAGCTAACGTTCTATGCCGATGTTGCCGTAGCAACCCTACCTGTCACCTTCAGAATTTCATGGTTCTGTCCGGCTCTGTCTCTGTTTATTAGACTGTTGAGTCTACTGTTATTACTACACGCGACTGACGCTATTCGGAGCTACTGCAATTGTGTTCGCACGTGTGAATACCACATGATGTTTCGTTGTCTCACATGCACGTTTCTAGATCACTCGGCCATGCTGGCGTTAAGTTGCACTCTGTTCGTCTGTCCCCGCACGTACTGGTAACGCCATCGATCCATGCGTGTGGTACTGTTAGTTACGTGACGTTCCGATTGCAACGGGTGTTCGTATCTAGCTTATATTACGCTATTTTGAAATCCCTACATTCAGTAGTATGTTTCACATATAAATTACTTCTTGTGTATCCGAATTAATTTATTTTATAGGAATCACTCAGTGAAGCGTGCTTACAATCCGGTGGCAACTTGCTCTGTGCTGTGGTACATAATTCGTAGCACCGACGAAGGGTATAAGTCGCGTTCGTGCGCGTTGTCTTCTTAGACTGGACTTCGGGGCTACCGCCACTGTTGCTGCCTTGGCCTACTCACCCTGTTTCATCCAGTAACCCTCACATTCAAACACTATTGTTCCTATCATTTTTTGGCTTTTCACACGACCTCCTTTTTCTCCCCACTGCTGATCTCCGTAGCTACGCATAGCTGAAGAAGTTGATCCATTGCCCGGGTCATAACGTGGAGTTATTCACTAGACTGCGTTCTTTGGCGCTATCCAAATGCTTTCAGTTTTAATCATAGCAGGCATGTCCATGCTTGCAAGTCAGACGAACTCAGTCGCGGCACCCTCTACACTGGTTACCTCGGATAGGTCAATTTCCCTCTTTCTTCGTACCTCCGCCCTTGCAGACAGCAGAGTGTTGGTTTTACCTGAAGCGCGATCAGTAGTATGGGCAAGCGTAACCGAAGCAAATGTCTGCTTGTTCATCACCGCCCACTTGATGCTAGTTATCAACACGACAAAACCTACCGTTGATGGCAAATTCAAAGTTTACATCTGCTCCTTGCATCTTCACCTGGTAGGCAGCGCTACAAACTTGCGTGGTCAAAAGTCGTAAGCGACATTTAGAGTATGGAAAACCGCCATAGTCGGTCCTTTGTAAGTCTCTCTGCTCTAATACTTGGTAAAGTGGGATTATGTGGTCCATGTAATCACGACTAGGGCAGAAGCCAACCGGGCTTTCAATGATTCGGTTCTCACGCGGACCAATAAGTCGTCAAATATTGATACATATGAAAAGTTTGGATGCAATACCTCAATGATTTTCGCACAAAGTCCTTTGGGGATGTGTACTACAGTTGGCAGTCTGCAGTCTGAAGGCACCTTTTAATTGTTCTCAATTGTGTTGAAGAGAGCATCAATTCCAGCCACTTTCAGTTTTCAAGAAAGATGAGGATAGTTATCGGATGCAGAAGCCTTGTTTCGTCTTAACACGGCAAGGTCATATCCAATCTCTTCCAAAGTGGGAGGCGTGACATCAACATCTTACGTAACCTTTGGTGATTCAGCAAACGACAGGGTCGCAGCAGGCCTAATGAACTGCCTACCAAAATGTTCCTCCCAACGGGCTAGTCCACTGTCCATCTCTCTGAACCATTGTCTGACTAAGCGTTTTCTTGGACTCATTTTCCAGATGAGCTGGAACAGTACTCGGTCGTCAGACGTAAATTTGGGGCGCTACAGACACGCTGAAACTCAGTACTCAATGGAACCTGTTTGTGTTATTTACTCATCACACAAAGTTCGAATGTCTTTAATTTGGCGCACCACATGTACCATAAGTATTTTTCATGCTACACTTCTAGTCGGCGTTCAGTTCAACCATCTCATTTACCATCACTGCCAATTGGTGGGATAGTTCGTCAGAACGTTTTGAACTGTTGGCCGCGAATTCAAGTTAGAACTGAAAAACCTATGTTAGCTGCTTCTAGAAGTAAAAAGAGTGGGCATCGGGTGTTCACGCACTATTGCATTGTCGGATTCCACGTACTTGCTGCAAATTGATCGACAGCTTTGAATTGAAGTATGCCATAAACTTTACGAAAGAACGGTGCGTGTTGCTCGTCAGGAGGGGTTGCGACTCAGGGGCAACTTCGATCTGTAGCTACACCTCTGCCAAATCGATCTCAGCAAAACACATGCCACCATTGAGTATTATGAAACAATCAGCGGGAGGCGGTAGTGGATAAAAATTCGCTTCAGGTGTAGCACTGAGGTCAGTGGAGAAGTCGGCACATATCAAAGGTATCCATTTGGCTTCATGGTCACAACGATCGCGGCTGCCCAAGCAGATTAGGGCATTAGTATCAATCGTTTGCGTTCCGCGTCGACCAAAGGTAGACTTGCGTATTGGACGGGTCTTTTGGGATGGAATACCTTTCGAGCCCTGTGTGCCAGCTGTACTACGGTCCGAGTGTTTGTACAGAGGCCAAAACCATCTTGGAACACTGAGGTGAGCTGTCGGTTTGGTCATTCAGTACTGCCGAAGGTCGTGCCGCACTGCGGACTGCCAGAAGAGACATATCTGCCAAGCTAAGGTTATTGGACCAACCAAGATCAAGTAGATCAAACTATTCTTCTGATGCAGCAGATCCCGTCGAATGGGGTTTTACAAAAAGAGACAAAGCACTGCCGCTGCCCGGTTAGCTGCACGCGACTACTACAGGCACCGGTGGCGTATTGAGAGTATGACCCGAATGGTGGCTTTCCAAGATGTCGCTACAGTTTCGTGCATAACCTTGATGTCCAGGACAGTATCTAACTGCAATCGGACGGACTGATCGTTGATCAAGACGTCGACGAACTTTTTGCGGTCAGTAGTCTCTTGAAGTTACCAACCGTAGCCACTTTGTGCTCTGGTTTGGTCCGGTGCCTTTTCTTTAGACGGTGGGAGAAAGCCATGCCATGTTTGGTCTCCTTGCTTGATGGAGGTTTATAATAACCATTAGGATTCCCCGCCAGGCCACATCGCGTGCATCGGTGTTGGCGGAAGGCGCAGTTTCGAGGATATTAGGCAACACAGAATCGGGACCCGACTCACTGGTAGAACTGAAGAGTTTATCGGGTAAAGGGGACATCAACCTGACTTGCTGCTATAACATCAGTTTTAAATCGGCGTACTCATCTGCCATGTTTCGAAAATTACCGTCTTCTTTTTCTTTGAACAGCCTAATTGTAACGGGTCGCCTAGTCGGATTGGACCTTGCGGTCCCCGCGCATTCTACCGCCGACGCGAACGGTTAGCTTTTTTCGTAACTACTTCCCACACGCGCACGTGTGACTCGGACTCTCATCACTGATTACTGTTAAGGTGCACATCCTCTATTATATACCGAGGCTGGCGAAGTTTGTCAACTTCCACATAGCACAGTCTTCACGACCCATCGTGCTGGATCGAGTGTGCAGCGGGGCATTTGGGTTCCCATGAACGAGAGCCTCAAGCGGAGGGCGTTTCTGGACATATGCGTTCCCGCGGTCGCGGGATTTTGCTTACTTGGACTTAGCTTGTGCGATTTTGCGGAAACGAGCGTTCCCCGTAGCAATGAAGCGACTCTAGCTAAAAGTCAGTCTCCTGAGGCTACTTTCTTCAGTTTGTTTGTGCGATAAATAATGTTTAGACGGTAATTTAAGTGTCACAAATACTTTTATCTCTCGTGGTTCTTATCCAAATTGATTGACGCTTTTATCCATTCTTTTGGGTTTCACTTCACTTCAGCCCAGTCCAGTTGAACAACCACTGTACATGCACTGCATTGCGGTGGATCCAGTTGCCTCGGTTTACGCCACCAAAGTAACAATAGTTAACAACGTCAACCAAATGAGGTTGAATGAAAATAGAATACGCAACTAACTCGGAGAGAAAGTTAACAACTAAATGCAATAAATTGAACGCAGAAACGCCACGGACTGCGCAACTGTGCCATGTTTGTTAGAGTCTCCAACAAATGATATGGACCCACGAAAATGCCACTAGGTTTACGCTCACAGGCGTGATATTATTGTTAAGTTTTTTGTCCTGAACTCCAACAACGCTGGACATATCAGCTCAATTTTCTTTTCTTCTGATTACACATATCTACCGCTGTTTACAATGTTACTTAGGATATAATGCTTTTGGTCTTTTTCTGCATTCACTTTAGAGAATCTACTTATTCTGAACAAACCGTATGGCATACCGTCGCACCGTGAGTTTTTGCACTATTATTGCGCGGCAGAATTTACGCATCCGTGGGCCTGTTGCATTTTATCCCCACCATTGATTTCATTACGCTACTCATCTTGAATAACATAGAAACTTCAATATATCCATCGACAATCCCGTCCTTTCATCAATTCCCATTTGATCTTGCGTCTATATTGTGCTAGTATACCGTCAATCAACACAGCAGCACCGCGCTTAATTGTCTCTGTGCTGAATAATAGTTTTTACGCTGGTGCTTTTCTAAGCTAATATGTATCGTCGCGTTGATTTACCCCAATACTGCTAGAGCATCGTATGACGATTACCTTGGGTATCTGATGCTTCCGAACAAATCGACTAGTTGTGTGTTTCGTATTCTCCCAGCCGGCGCTATCTTCACTATTATTCGTCGTAACAATTTTACCACCGGCTATTGCTTTGTTTTAGAGTGCTTTTTGTGTGCACGCATTGCGACACCAATCTTTGTCGGGTCTGCGATTCACATTCAGTTGAATCTTGGTCAGTTCGGTCACGCGGACTTCATGTGAACCCAGTTACTGTTCTCAACAATGCAAACGCCTTAATTTCGCACCTTTTGCGATGCACGATGAATCGCATCGTTCTAGTGCACCTTACTTTGTGTACAAGTGTTCAAGGAGACTGTAATTCGTTACATGCGGGAGCTTCAGTCAAGCAACTGAGTTTTACTTCTTTTGTCGTGGCGGAAAATTTACACTCTATGTTTTCGTCCCACAAGCCTGTTGTACTTACGCACGATCGTGGACTGATCGGTCAGTTTTGGGTCGTAAACCTTTCACCATCACTTCCTACTCACGTGAGCATAGGTTGACAACTTTGAGTCCCCTCCACTCCTAGTTGTGCGCATTCTACTAACCTCACCTAGATAACCGGCTCCCAACGATTCGCGGTCTACGTCAGTCGCCCCGCTGCCCTGTGGGTTAGGTCTTTTGTTACCCAGGGCTCCGGGTGGAATCTCCCAAGTCAACCTTCACTCGGTCTTGGCAACCGGAAAGCCCCACGCCCACACAACCTATGAATCCTTATCTCAATAATTCTTCGCTTGTTCTCACTCCCTCTACTCTCACTCTATAACTGCTGTCCTTAGCCGAGGTGCTGGTGGCCGAACCTACTAAACCGCGTTCTACTGTACCACCGTTTAGCCATTTTATTCCACGTTTATTTACCTCCCCCGTTCTTGGTCTTCCTCCGTTTCCATGTCCACAACTCACTGCCGTTTTGGGCCAGTGTTCTCGCCATACGCATCAGGAGCTTAGGTCCGAGGGTGCGCCAAGTTGTGTTGGAAAGCTACTTCTGCCGGCCAGTTCCCAATTCAAGCTGACAACCTTCAGTGTTCGGACGCTGATGCACATGGGATCACAGGTAACCCTTGCTCGCATTCTAGAAACTACGGCCATTGATGTTCGCTGTCTCAGTGAGGCCCGTTGACAGGATTCTAGCACGACACTACGACTACTTCCACTGCCTGCGAGTTCCGCTTACATTTTTACACTGCGCCTATATGGAAATTCAACTGCTGAAGCCGTTGGTTATGTCGGCGTGGGAATTGCGTTGAGCACACGTGCTGAGGCCGCGTTACTAGACTGGATCCCTGTCAACAGTGAACTATGCGCGATACGACTTGAAACCTCAGTGCGACTGTCCATGCGCGGAGCCCTCAGATGTTGTTTGTTTATTGTCATAGCGTACGCTCCCACAGCCTGCAGTCCGGAGTCAGTTGAGGACGAGTTCTATGGACAACTGACCGACCGCCTCCGTAAAAGCGCCGCACCGAAATCGTGCTTCTCGCCGGGGTTTTGAACACGCAGACCGGTAGACCTGGAGTTGACGAACGTGAACTCGCCGGTCAACGCGGCCAAGGTATTCACAGAACTGACAGCGATGATGGTCTACTTCAGCTTTGCCACAATCACGGCCTCTCTGTCGGGCAGTGGCTTTCGGGGATCCTGGCGCCAAAGCACCATGTTGAGACCCCCATCACTCGGCCAGCCGTTGGCGCAACTTGACCACATCGCCATCAGTCGTCGCTGGTATGGCTGCATACAGGATTTCAAATCAACCTGGAGTACCAATCTCACTTCGGTTCACACGTTGGTGTGTGCCAAAGTTGCGTTACGTTTTGGTGCCTCCCAGCAGCGTCGCAGCAAATGGCTTGACGTGGCTAAACTTCCTGCCCCGAATGTTCCCCGTGCATTTCAAGATGCTTTGACTTCAAGCTGAAGACTGCCTCATACACAGACGTTGAAACACACTGAGCACACATCCGCGGCGCCATAAACAACTCTGCAACCCTGGTCTGTGGCTTCGCCAGTAGTTCTATTAACCACTGGTTCTCTGCGCGATATAACCAACTTCTAGAAACCCATCGAGATATTCCTGCTAGCCTTAACTACCATTCACTGCGCAGGATTACCACCGCTCAGCTCAAACAGCTTCTCCGGGAAGTTCTCGAAGTCTGGTAAACGCAGTGGGTCATTCAGATGGAGTAAGCGGCCACCTCGGGAAATTTCCGCAAGCTTTTCCACCTGATCCGATCTACTGGCGGAGGAAAACCGACTGTAAGTGGAGTTTTATGCGAAACCAGTGACGAGCCAATCCATTGCCAAAATCGCCGACCCGATTGTTGGGCCGAGCATTTTGAACAGCAGTTTATTGGCCAGCAGCACCGTTGAGTTTCCATTCTGAAATCCGGAATGCTCCCCAGTGTGTCGACGTTTCACCACCATCTGAGACTGAGGTTGCACTTGAGCTTCACCTGTTAGTGTTGCAAGGCTCCTGGCATAGAAGAACTCCTTTCGGCTCTTTACAAAGATGGTGGTTCATCACTTGTTCGTAAGTTAACTTCGCTCCTCCAAGAGATCTGGGTCACTGAAGTTATCCCATCTGTTTGAAGCCTAGCGCATATCGTGTCCGTCTTCAGAAATGGCACCCGAAATGACTACGCCAACCACGGATGGATTAGTCTCATCTGTGTTGCTTCCAAGGTGCTCATCGCTCTGCTTTTAAAGAGGTTCAGCCTGGTGCGCGAACAGTGCATACGCGATCTGGGCTCCACTCAGGTCGCAGTTGCATCGATCACATCTTTACACTCCGCCAAATACTCGAGTGTCGTCAAGTACTTGGCCGCGTTTGACACAGTCGACAGAGCTGCTCTCTACATCTATCTACTGAGAAGGGGGTGTCTAAGAAGTATGTAACTATTCTAGAAGCCATCTACACTCAAAGCTCGGGCCGAGTGTGTGTGCGCCGGACTTTCACCCCCCCCTTTGTATCACCTGTGGCGTGAGACAGGGTTGCCCAGAATCCCCCTTCTTGTTCAATTTCGCCATGGACGAAAATCTGGAGAGTGCTCTGGCGAACTGCGAACCCAGCGACGTCGAGCTGCTTCCGAAAGATCGACTTCGGGATTTAGGGTATACAGAGGACATCCCCGTACTCTGCGCCTCCTCACAGGCCGCCCAAAATGTCCTGTGTACGTTGCAGGTGTCTGTCTCCCAGCTTGGTATGACCATCGAAGTGCAAGGGCTTCCTGCAGGATTGGCTAGGCGCTGCTCCTACCCTTACCCTTTCAGATCAATCATTGGAACTGTTAGACAAATTCGTTTACCTCACAAGCTGTTCAGCGCTAATGGTTTAACGCATCAGGTCTTTTTGCGCGTCTCCAAGGCTCGGGTTACGTTTACTAATCTTCGCTATCACTTCCGTCGAGGCGGTCTGAGTGTATCTGAAGGGCCGAGTTTACAATGCCGCAGTGAGAGCGGTTCTACTCTATCGCTGTGAGGCTTGGCTTGTTCGCGCAAGGGATGTTGAGATGCTGTCTGTTTTTGATCACCGCTGCCTACCGAACATTGCTATTGTACCATAGCAACATTACACCTGTAATGAAGATGTTCGACGGAGGATTTTCACATCAGACAGACTTTGCCGGCCACTGAGCAGTATAATTTCTCTGCGCAGACTTCAGTGGCTTGAGCATGTTCTTCGCGTGCCTACCCATCGCTTACCTCGCCGTGCCCTCTTCGATGTCATCGCCATTGCTTATGTGAACATGTTACGCACACTTTAGTCGAGCAAACTAGGTCGCTTTAGAGTCTTTAAGAAATTTTCAGATGCGAATTCAAAAACAACTGACATTCGCCAGAATTGTCCCAAGTTTATTGCAACCCCCAGTCTTTGCGTGAAGTACCATGATATGCGTATTAATTTACAATCCAGTGGAGACTTGCTTGAGCTTTCTACTTGACATAGGCAATCATAGTCAAACTCACTAGAGTGACTCCTTCAGGACGCCTGCAACTACAGGGCTCCCATGCGTGACTTGCGCTGCACCACCCACACCTCCACCCACACACCCCATATCCCGTGTAAACCCGAAAGGACAAGAACATGAGGCATGTAGATGGGAGTCACGTTTCATCAACTTAGCCGGTTCACACTCCTTCTCAGGGAAACGTCGCAATGAGACTGGAGCTTAATGTGGTGTGACGGTTTGCGTACCTACTTGACCCATTGAGCTATACTGGCTGATGCCTTCGGGCACCTTGAGATTTACTCCTATCAGGTTGATCAATGGTGAGAGGTCAGACAAACTCAGTCTCCTGGTCCTCCAGGTTGGGGGTTTCAAATGGGATGGCGTCCATTTCTGTAAAAGTTAATCATTGCCACCTCCCCGCTGCCTTGCGGACAGGCGTTTGAGCCAAAAGCTTTGGATGAGAACCCTAATCGTCCTTCTGTCTACGTCTTGCCGCCCTGGCAGTATTCCAGCCCACTTACAACCTTGACTTTTCCTTCAAACCTAATCTTCATCCTGCATCGGCCGTCGCGCAGATTATCAAGGGTAGCCTTATCTGCTACATACAGCAGGACGGATAAGCGAAAATATGCTACTGCTGGCGCCTCCTTTCTTTTCCACCTTTTTCTCTTACTCCCATCCCGACCCCCATTACTAACCTTCCTTCTATAATT